GACCGTCCACCAGGGAAACCCATGCAGCCCGGAAATCTCCCCTCCGGGTATGTGAGCCCCATCAGCCTACTGGAGGCAACTCATACCGACCGGTAGTAGAACTAATGACCCTGAATCGGGATGTGATTTATCAAGATGTTTGTAGCCCCCCTGCGGTTTGGTCCATGGACGGTCTATTTCGGAGAAAGAAATGTTGATCTTCGGGCGCCTGCTGACTCTGAGCAGCCATAAATCCATAGATCTAGACCGATTTGACCCTATCTGACCCTATCCTTGAACCCGACTGATTCGGTGGGAAGAACACTACCAGATTGGCCCCAAAGGGATCAGCTATGGAACTATAGAGCTACGGATGACCTGCCACTGCACCATGGAGACCATGGTTCGTAGCAACGTGAGGTTGGGTGATCTCCTTCAGACTATTGTGCTCCCGTAAGCAATGTACCTCTGTAAAGAGACCACATCTCGCGGCCAAAGATCTTTATGGTCTATAGTGCCAACCTAAAAACATATATATATATATATATATATATATATATATATATATATATATATATATATATATATACTAAACCTACTTGCGTATAGCGGTGCTCCGACACTAAATAGGCCTAAATTACAAAGTACAATTATATATTATAAAGTCTCTTTCTCACTATCCTTATTACTAATAAATTAATAACTCTAATCTAAGCCCAATTACTGTTTATTTCTCATTTTACGTAACTTTTTTTTGAAAACTTTGATTTATAAAAGTTAAACATTTATCAAAAAATTAGAACTTTATTACAAACAATATTTATATGACCTTTCTTTGAAATACTTTTTTTCCTCTAAATATTTATCGGAAACTGTTAAAATGGAATCTTTTTTAAAAGTTACTACTCCTGGTTTGTATAGCTAAACCTCATGACAATCGACGTCTCTAGTAAATAACCTTTTTATGTGAATGTCTCAAATTTTCTTATTTTCGTGTTAAATTTAGAAGGTTCATTAATGAAATTAACAATTAAAAAAGCTATATTTGTTTTTGTTAATTTCTTTACTTAAAAACAATTACAACAATATATAAACAGAATAATTAAAACAATAATTATAATATTGCTGCACAGTAGAATACAAATATAAGTGTGTTATCCTTGTTTATACAATATAATTTGTTCAAAGTAGGAATTTGGAATATTTCTCGATTTATATGATTGCATTTTCATGATAGTTTATATTGAATATTTAAACTTTTTAGATGATATCTATTCACTATTTAAATAGAAAATAAGGAAAAATTTTTATTTGGATAAGGTATAATATCCGATAGGAATGATATCCGATTTAAATCAAGAATAGATCAAAATTTATACTTTACTTATACTGTTTATAATCTCGTAAATAAACAGTTTAGCGATCGTCCTTTACTTTCTGAGATATAAGTGTGTCATGAAACCAGTTTATACTTTTCACTAAATCTATTATAGTCTTCCTAAAGGGGAAAGCTTTATCTTTATTAACTATGGGTTTATGAAATGTCATAAGCTTTCCAAAAAAAAGTTTTTATGTGCCAGTTTATTATATCACCCACAAGACAATATATAATAACTTGTTCAAAGGGTTGCTACTTGTACGGTTTTTATCGTTATCTTATAGCAAGATTTTAATTTTTATCCCAGCTTTGAAGTTATTTCAATATTTAAAAATAAAGAATATTAAAGAATGAGCAGACGGTGGGTGATGACTCTGAAAGGGAGTACCTTAGAAAATACTTCCACACGGTTCAGTGTCGGTTCCAAGCGAAATGGATCCTCCCGGATAATTTAATTTCACTATTCCTCACGAGGTATGGGGACTTTAGAGCTCAGCTACACAGCCTCGGACTAGATATAGCCCCCAATGCCCCGCTTGTGGTGTTCCAGGGACAGTTGAGCATGTTGTCACTACCTGCACTGTTTCGACGGATTAAGAACCACGTTAATGAGAACCACGGGAATTTACGTCCTCACGAGGAGGAGTTTTCTCATTTACGGAATGGACTTAATCCGTAACAAATAATAATAATAATAATATTAATTTAACTTTTATTTTGTTAAATATCCTAATTGGTGAATCATTTATTATATTGTCGTTTCTCATGACTCAAAGGATAAAAGAACAAAGCTATCCCTAGATAGCCACGTCAAGCTATCTCTGATAGCTTAGAAATAGTTATCTAGAATGTACTGACTGGACAGAAGACCCACTATCAAGACTTAGGGAACAATAACCGATTTCAGCAAAAGGGCACTTTCTCACAGACCTCATCTTAAGAATATTAACTATCGATAACTTCCTTTGCTCTCTTCTTGAGACATCCCTTCAACCCCTTGCTATTCTTGGGTATATAAACCCCATGCTCCTCAGACCAAATCACTCATGCAGTTACATTCTTGAAGTCACACTCTTCACTGTAGGAGACCTGGAGTGAACTCGTATAGTCAACCCATATATCCATAGTATAGTATTCTGTATGTTAGATGCCATTTGTAACAGACATTATGAACAAAAGCATTACTTATAAAGTCTTCACTGCCTCCGATTTTTTAACTCTCGATTGGTGTATGCCAAAAACTTGCCGTAGTTCAAATAATTCATAAATGGCTGAAAAACATCGGTGGGTCTAAGCCACTTCAATCCAGATGTCCAAAAAGGGAGAAGAGAGAGGTAACAGGAAGACCTCCGAATTCTAGAAGTTAATCTTAATTCATTGAAGACTTAAAAAATAGCTAATCTTGTGCACAGCAGTGAATATCGTATGTTGTTATAATTGTAGTACATATACCCGTATTGCCATAGTGGCACAGGAGGTAGAAAATAAATAATAAAATAAGCAATATCATTATTGTTATCGGGATTTCTTTTATGAATAGAAACAATTATCAAACCAGTGCTAATCTATTCATAGGATCTGAGAGACGAATGTTTATCCCCCAACTGAGGTGTAATATATTTTTAAATTGGGGAACTGGAAGCTTTGCCTAGAAAATAAACGTAAAATTGTTTGTATATTAAAAACGAACTAATCCAGATTGACAAAGAGTTGGTATCCAAGGGTTTGACGAAACGTGCTAACTCTTTGGTTCATTGTTTGAGACACATTAATAGTATGTACTTGAAAATTATTTACGATTCTGCCAAATTGGATCTACAAGAGAAATTGATGATGAACGGTAAGGAAAAACTAGTTCTGTAGTTTTTGAAGAGAGAAGTTCTTTAGGCACGTTTAACACTTTATTTTGTGTATATTGAATAAGACGGAGACGTCTCGCTCGGTTATGTTAATGCTGATATAACGCTGATTCGAGGAAAGTCGCTCAAGTCAACGAATGTTTGCATTTGGATTAAAATAGCTTAGAAACTAAAAATCGGTCCTGCATACAGTAAGCGAGTATCTTGACGCGACACCATGTAGAAAGGCAAATAATGAAAATTAATAATGAAAGTGTCAAAAACCAAATGATAACGAGTTTTGGATGAAATATTTTGAATATATATTTTTCAATCTATCTATCTAATATCATTTAACATTAGGATTAAAATATCTCAAAAACTAAAATTTGGACTTAAAACATAAGCTTGTGAAATTTTCTGCATTTCATCCTTTTTCGTAATGAGCTATAATTAGAAATTGAATTTTGACGAGACGCCGTGTAAGAGAGATAAAAAAGGAAAAATATAGAACCAAAAATCCAAATACTAACGACTGTTTTTGGACTAAACTAATTGAACATTTGAACTAAAATATCTCAAAATTTCAATAACAAGGAGAGTTCGGAAACAGATTTTCAGAAGCCAGTATAGATATTTTTCTTTTAATTACATGTAAAAATAAGAAATGCTTATAATGTAATTTCTGTTGCACACGATAGTGTTTCGACATAATACAAATCCCCATTTCAGAAGTTTTATTAAAAAATAAAGTAGCTATACTTCATTATTGCCTTATATTAATTGACGTTTCATTATATACGAATGAATAAATATTTCTACATAAGTATAATAATAATAATAAAAGATTTTGTGAACCAGGATGTTCAATGCCGACACCACCAATCGCATATTACACACCTCCCTCCACCGTTCGCCATCCAAACCCAGTTCCTTCAGATCGGCTTTAATGCAATCTCCCCATCTTTGATTTGGTCTACCTCCCGGACGTTTTTCGGTAAATTAAATATCAACCTTTTAGGAATTCTTTCGTTACTGAGCCCAACAATTTTACAAGGCCATTTGATTCGCCGCGATGTAATCAACTCAATTAAATTAACTGGGCACAGGTTACGCAACCTTCTGAACTCTCCCGTTAACTCATCTTTCTCCGGTTCGAATATTGTACGTAATACTTTATTTTCAAAATCCTTAAGACGTTGCTCACCCCTTAATGTTAAGCGGCCACGTTTCGGATCCATAAAGAACTGTAGGTATGATAATGGTTTTATAGATCCTAGTCTTAAATTCCGGGAATGCCCGATCTAAGTAGTTTTGTCACAGAAAAATACATAACTATAATTATAATTAAATATTTCTTAATATTAATTCTGCTTTGTTTATGTTTTTGCAATTTTAGCACACACCGTAGTTTTTATTTATAAATTTTATAAGTTTAAGAATAAAACATATTAAGATAAAAATGTAAAGTTAAAGCTCGAAAAACCGGTCGGAGTGAATGCTGTAGTCACCTAGAATAAATTTAAAAAGTGTATCAAGTAAAATAAAATCCATTGTCACTAGAGCTTGGATCTTCTCCGTGATTTCTAGGCCGATTATTTTCATATTTGGCATCTATGTCACAGAATACCTCAGGATGATCCTCGAAATTCGACATTTTTATTTAGGCTCTTTGTTTAACAAAAATCAACAAACCGACCTAAAGAAAACCGTTCTCAACTGTTAAATATTTGTAACGAAATAAATGTGAAACATTTCAGGTCTGATTGAAACAATCGCCACTGTTGACACGAGAATGCTCCTACATGCTCACCAACCGCATCCTCGATTTAAGAAGCCAATCTGTTAGTTTATTGCGCTACTCCATAACAATTAGGTAAAATATTTAGAATGATTTATCAAAGTTATAGGTCAGTGATTCAGAATTGTCTTCCTTTCTTTTAGAATTTTTATCCCCAACCTGCTCCATCGTAGTCTATCTGAAGGTATAGACTCAAAAAACTTCAGTAGTACTCAGTATATTTTTTATAAGAACTGTCCTTGATTTGTTAGCCACTTCATCGCTTCCAATTCAGTAAATTATCGACTGCATCGATTGACAGCTTCCAGCTATCAGAGTGAGAATATCAAGACCTCTTTCAGGAAATATATTTAAAATGTCCTTAAAAACAAAAACACTCTATACCAATATTCTATAATTATTTCGTTATTCTTAGGCGGCTGTGTCCTAGAGTTATTAAATTTGTAACGTTATTTTCCGTCACCGTTAGAGATCTATCTTACGCCTAAACTTATTTTTTGCAGAAGTTCGAGTGGGAGGTCCGAGGTAAACTGGAGAGCCAGGAACAGCTTCGGATCCAGCTGTACTCCCACAGCAGGTACCTCTCCGACAGGCTCATCGGATCCTACTGCCTCATCCTCCAGTCCTTGGTCCTTGAGAAGAAACTGTTGATCACCGACACCATACTGGACAACAACAACAGGCCACTTCCAGTAAGTTAAGAATAATCTATGATATTCCTTTTTTCATTATTTCAGCTAATATTAACTGTTAATTTCATTTGTTTATTATTTTAAATTAATCTCTTGAGATTAGATTTTTTGGCTTTATTAAGAATATATATATATATATATATATATATATATATATATATATATATATATATATATATATATATATATATATAAGTTAAGCGTCGGCGGACTTTAACAATAAAAAAAAAGAAAGGAAAGGGCTTGAAATGCAACACTCACGGTTTCAGAAAAGATACTGATTTATTCCTTTAGTAATCCTCCTTATATACATTTCATATGTTTATTTACATTCAGGACGGCATTAAGGCTGATATCTCCGGTCTCCGGTCTTTATCTCCCCCCCACCAGTTTACGAATAGGATTTTTCGGAAACTTAGATATTCCTAGATTGGAGCTAACGATTATCAGTCTTAACACCTTACAATTGTTTTTATAAGTATAAAGTTGAAAGAAAGTAAAACTCACTCGAGACATACAATAATACAAAGAAATAAAAAAAACAGAACTAAACACAACACTTGCTTCCAAAAACAGAACTCTTAATACCCTTAAAAAAAAAGAGAAGAAAAAAAAATAATACACTTTCCTCTACTGTATTGCTATGATTCTATTTACACATAAAAAAAAAATACACCATATTTTTGCTTAGACAACCAAAAAAAAACATATTTGTTATAAACCGTGGTGAGGGTACTACGAATCCATTAGTTTTTGTTCCGGTTCTATCATTGGGAGCTTCAATTGTTCAATGTGAACAGTTCTCCTCTTTCTAGGTTCATTAACGCTTTCGATCGTTAGCAGATTATGCTCCCTAATAGCAACCACTCTGAATGGACCCTCGTACCGTAACAATTGTTTCCCTCTGTTGGTTCCTACTCTACGGTACACTATTGTCCCGATCTTTAGATCACCCATTTGGTCACGTACGCGAACATTCTGCCTCTCTACCCGCTTCTCCTTTTCCCGCTTAATTTTCCCCGTTACTCTTCCCCACGTCTTTTCCACCTCCACCCTATTGCTCGGGATTTGCTCGACTAATGGTTCATTAACCGTTGTTTCCCCGCAATCTCGCCTTGGCCTGCGCATCCCGAATAGTACTTCCACGGGCGAAAATCCCGTGACGGAGTGAATCGAGTGGTTGTAGGCTGTTACCGCTTTCTTCATTGCAACATCCGGCTCCAACCCTTTTTCCCCCTGATACACCCGGATGTGGTCACTCAGCGTGCTGTGCAACCGCTCAATGCCGCCTCTACCTTTAGGATGTCCCGGGGTGTTATAATGCCAACGAATCCCTAGTCGTTTCACCTCCTCCCTAATCGCGGCATTGTCAAACTCCCTACCACCGTCCGATGTGATCCTCTCGGGGACCCCGTAGAACTGCACCCAGGTTTGTAGGGCTTCCGCAACTGCGTTGGCAGACTTGTCCATGACCTGGTGTGCCATAGCTACCTTGCTAAAGACGTCGATGACCGTGACCCACTTGAACCCTCTCCAGGTAAATGTATCAATCTGGAGGTCCTGTAGTGGCATATTCCCCGTCGGTGTCTCTTCCTGAATCCCTCTGGGGGGGTGTCGATCATATTTCGTGCGCATACACACCTCGCATTTCCCTATGACCTCTTGGATGGATTTTTTCATGCCCCACCAGAAATACTTTCGACGTAATGCCTGCAGCGTCTCGTTCACGCCTCGGTGGTTGGTTTTCCCCTGGTGATAAGCTAATGTGACTGCCTGTTGCTGTTCCTCATCCTGTATAGTTTCCACTGCGTACTTGCAACGGATGAGCGTTCTGTCCACACCAATTCGCTCGGATCTCCACATCCGCTTTATTTTATCCCATACCGTGTTATTCCCAACATAGAGATGGTGCGTCTTTCCAGGTTCCGTGGCGTCCTTCAGTGCCGTACAAATTTGCTCTTCACTCACCCCGGGTTGCGACCAGATGACGCGAATCTTGCTTTTCCCATATCTTCGATAATCTATTTTCATCATCCCTGCTACTCTCGTTTTCCAGATTACCTGACGATGCTTGTCATTGATGATGTCGTCTATCTCCTCCATTTCCACTGCTCTTTCCTCCGCTGAGCTCTCCTCTTCCGGGGACTCTCCCCTGTCATCTATACCGACGATATCATCTGCTCCTTCGCCATCGGGAGTCCATTCACTCAAGAATTGGCGCACGTCTCGCGATGGTCCTCCCCCGTCCTCTTCTACCGCGTTGATCATGATGGCCCTAGAGAGCCAGTCCGCCACCACGTTCTCCTTTCCCGGCTTATACACCACCTCTATATTGTATTGGCTAAGGACTTCCTTCCATCGCGTGACCCTAGCTGAGGTTTCTTTAAGTTTCCCTACCCACTGCAGGGGTTTGTGGTCGGTGTGGACTCGAAATTTCCTCCCAAATACGTATGGCCTGAAATGATCGATAGCCCACACTATCGCGAGTAGCTCCCTCTCCAAAGCGCTGTATCGCGATTCCGCACCCGTAAGCCGACGGCTCGCGTATGCTATCGGTCGTTCACCCTCACTCCCCCCCTGGGACAAAACGGCCCCTAACGCGTATTCACTCGCATCGGTGGTTATATTAAAGAGCTTCTCAAAATCCGGGAACGCTAACACCGGCTCTGTCAGCCACATATTCATACATTTTCGGATATTATTCTCCATCTCTGGTGTCACCACTATCTGCGCGCGTTTCTTCTGCAAATTGTTAATGGGTACCAAATACTCTGCCATCTCAGGTACGAATCTCCGGTAGTAGTTCAGCGTCCCGAGAAGCCTACGGATCCCCTTCACGTCCCGTGGTACCGCCATCCGTGTGATTGCCTCCACCTTTGCCGCATCCGGTCTGACCCCCTCGCTAGAGATAGTGTGGCCTAAAAAATTGATCCGCGTTTGTCCCAGCAGAGACTTCTCGCTTGACAATTTCAGCCCGAATTGCCGGAGCCTCTCGAATACTGACCTCAGATGCCCCACGTGTTCGGTTTCCGTTCTGCTAAAAATCAGCAGGTCATCCATATATACCTGACATACCGAGTCATCGATACCCCTCAAAAATTCGTCCATCAGACGCTGAAATGTTATGGGCGCATTCTTCAGACCAAACGGCATTCTGGTGAATTCATAATGCCCCCTTTCGAATGTAAACGCTGTTTTGTGTTGGTCTTCCGGGTGCATCCGTATTTGGTGATATCCCGCCTTGAGGTCCAACGTGCTAAAGACCACGGCCCCACTCAACCTATCGAGTATATCTTCGAATCTTGGGATCGGGTACTTCTCGTCTACCGTGTTATCGTTCAATTTACGATAGTCTACTACCACCCTGTATTTTTCCTTATAATCCCCCGGTGCTGCCTTCTTCTTCACCGCCCACAGGGGACTATTGAATGGTGAGGTGCTATCAACTATGATCCCTTGTTCTTTTAGACTATCTAGCTCCTCTCGAATATGCTGCCTCAACGCCTGCGGGTATCTTCTCTCTTTCACGTAAGTTACCCTATCCTGCTTCAGTGGGATTTCATGCACCGTCCTCCCTGTTACCCCTAATACCTCACCTTCCCTGAAGAAAATGTCCCTAAACTCCTCCTGTAGCAACTTCCTCCAGTCCTCCACTCTGTTCACCGCCCCTATCCGCACCCTTCTTTCTCTCGCGACCCCTATACATCCGAACTTCCTCTTTCCCAACCTAACACTCCAGGCTCCTCTACGATTTCTAATGCTCGCCCCTACCTGCCCTAACAAATCGCACCCTACTATGACCTGGTATTCCCGAGTCATGTTTTTTACTACATGTACCCTCAGTTCGCCCTCTTTTCCTGCCCACCGATCAAGCCTTATTGTCGCTTCTCCCTCTACACTACAGGGGCCACCCAGAGTGATTAGCTGGCAATCGCATTTTTGGATCCGGAGTGCCCTCTCACTCCCGCACACTTTCCCTAACGCCCCTCTGGTCATAATAGTGCTCGAGCTCCCGGTATCCACGAGGCACTTTACTCCCCCGTCTACCTCGATAATTGGCAACCAGCATGGCTTACCTCGGATGTTGTTGCATGTTGCTGTGCGGTCGCCTCTCTGCTGCCACACTCCTCAGATGCCGCCCAGCTTCCTCCTCACCGCCGCCGTTCGTCGCTGCTCGGTCCGTTGGCTGCTCCTGCCTCCTTCGCCTCCACTGCTACCTGGTTCGTCCGTCTCTGTCCCCGAAGTTCCCGACTCCTCGGTTGCCTCCTCCGAAGATCCGTCCTTCCGCTGCATCCTCGCCCGTCTTGTCAACTTCTGCGTGTTTACCTCCATGGGCTCGTCTTGAGTTCTTTCTCTCCTCCGGAATATGTACGGGCACTGCCTAGCAATATGCCCTTCGATCCCGCACTCGAAACATCTAGTGCGCGGACATTGTGCAACTAAATGTCCTGGCTTTCCACACCCATGACATTTCCTGTCTTCCCTGCGGGGTCCATTCCTCGGCCTCGCCTGTCCGGATCTTTTTTCACCCATCCTGACCTTTTCTCCGCTCGGCTGTATCGTTTCTCTCCTCTTCCAACCCATCGGGGCTGTCCGGGGTCGTCTGTCATTCACCCGGATCCACCCTGGTTCTTCCACGTCCATCCGAGTCTCTTCTTCCCTTGCGCTTAGGCCGATCATTTCCTGGGCACACTCGAGGAATGATCTCTCCCTGGGCAATCCGTCTCTCCTCCCCGTTTCCTTCGCCAACTGGACCTTGAGTATCGTCGAGAGGAACTCCATCCTGGCTTCCACCTCTCCCACACTCATTGTTTCGCGCATTTTCTCCGTTATGCGGTTGTACTTTGCCACTAGTACCCCCGCATACTGGCCCCTCGTCTGACGTTGGGACCGGCGCTCCCTAAACATTTGGAAGATGTCTTCCTCCGGCGTCCATCTGCCTCCTCCGAAGGCCTTTTTCAGTCGCTCCTTAATCACCGGCCATGGTGTCTCCTCGTCCGCCTGAATTT